GGGGGTGTGGGGTGAGAAAATGTTCCATTAGTTAAGACTATGTCTAGTATCCTATGGTCCAATTTTTATTTTTTATTTTTTGATCTTATATGGCGCAAAGTCTAGATAAAGCTGATGTGTAGAATAAAATCAAAACTATGGTTATGTTGACCCCCAGCCCCCATCTCTGTCCCTACACAAAAAGGGAAAGCAAAAGTGTATTGGTCTCTGAATGAGAATGAAATGAGACTAACCTTTTTTTAAGCCTTCTTTCCCTTGAATTAATGAGAATTCATTGATAAAGTTATTTTTGTTTTTAGTCATAAATTTAGAGTTTAATTCTTAATCTCTATGTATATATATATATATAATTCATTGATTCACATTCTCTAAGAAGAGGACACTAATTAAGAAAGCAAGAAAGAGCAGAGGAAGAAGAGAATTCAACAAAAGGTCCACTATTCTAGAGACATATTTAGGTAAATGTGCAATAAAAGCCATTTTGGCTTCTTCCTTCAATCCTATCCTTCGATGTCCCAGCCCTCTAAACAAATTAGGTCAGTTTCTTCAATTATCAAATTAGTTTTCTTTCAAGTCATTTCCACATTTAAAATTTTGTTGTTTGTATGTATACTCCAATTAAAAAGCAATATGCTATTTGTTTTCACCATAATTGATTAAGTTTTGAATTAAAAGAAAGAAATGAAAGAGTCACACATTAAAGCAATAATATGAGTCACACATTAAGGCAATGATACAAGGCACATTGTTTGGTCAGAACAAATAATATACAATACATGAGTTGGATAGACGGACAAACAACCATCAATCTATAAAAGTAGAGATCGTATCTTATTTAGGATACTTTGTAGTGGAGACGATTAACCAAGAGCTTGGTGGAACACGCATCTTAATTACTAAGATTTGCAAGTTACTTTTTCCTTAGTCCCAGTAACTTTTGTCTTAGTCCAATCCTTCCGTCAAATCCTAATTAATTCATTAGCATTGACAGAGAAATCGAACTGTGGTTTTTGAGTACCAGCTAAAGTCTGCAAATTTTGAGGAGCCGTCATACTTTTGGGTCCATTCCAAAAAAACTGAGCTATTTTCTGATTAATACGCTGAGTGTTATGCATACCATCCCAAAACACATAAGCAGAAGGGTCATTGCAGCCCCTCTTATCGGAATGGCCACAATCGCAGCCCCTCTTATCGGAATGGCCACAATCGCAGCCCCTCTTATTGGAATGGCCAAAATCGCAGCCCCTCTTATCGGAATGGCCACAATCGCAGCCCCTCTTATTGGAATGGCCAAAATCGCAGCCCCTCTTATCGGAATGGCCACAATTGCAGCCCCTCTCATCGGAATGGCCACAATCGTCTGCATGATAGAATCCATCACCATAACATGAAAGCATAACTGTGGTCTCATCGAATCCTTGAGGTTCAGGAAGAAGAAAGAAGTTAGAAGGATAAATATGTGGGTTATGATTTAATATATATAATTTTTACATAAAATCTTGATTTATTTATCTTTTTATTATAAATTGTTGAGATTTATTATTTTTTTAAAATAAAAAAGATAATTATTTTTAAAAAGTATTTATATATGACTTTTACATAAAATCTTGATTTTTTTATTTTTTTTATTATAAATTATTGAGATTTATCATTATTTTTTAAATTAAAAAAAACAGTTATTTTGAAAAGTAAGATTAAAAGTAATTAAATCTCAATTAAAATTTTATTTAAGTGATATATATAAAAATTTATGTATAAATAAATCCTAACTCCATATTATTAACTAGTGTCCGAGTAATTAAAACGTTGAGCTAATAGGGTGCGTGCATGGCTTACCATAACTTTCAGGTGCCTCCATTATAGCCCTGATTATGCGGTGGTATTTCAGTATTGAATAGTCGATAATGCAACCCTGACAAGTAGCCTTGCGCTCTTGAGCTAATTTTGCCAATTTCTCTTCAAGTTTGCTACAGTGGGTATTTTCCAGTTCATCAAGCAAGTTCAGTCGCGATTGGTCCTTGTAATATGCTTTTTGCACAACTGGCAAATAGCGTAGTGCAACGCTCATAAACGCAAATCTTTTTCCATTCACACCCTGACGTTCTGCTATTTCCTGAAAAATTAGCATTCACAAGATTAATTAATTAATTTTAAATGATCACACTTGTGAGTACGGACAACTTATTTCTACATGGTCATATATTATTCATAATTAATTGGGATCGAATATATTACCTTAACTTGCTTCACTATTGCTGCTGTAACCTCTTCTGCTTTTTCTTGAACATCTTGCTCATTTTTTATGTTCTGAAGATTGGAAAGATAATCGTATGTCCCTATTGAAAATAAGTAGAGAGTTTGATCTCGCTCATCTACGAATTTCGCTCCGTAATCAACAAATAACTTTGGCGAGTTATTGATGAAAATCTGTACTTGATCCGTCAGTGATTTCGACTGCAAGGCAGAATTAATGCACTTAATTACAAAATGAATCACAAGTTCAAAAAAAAAAAAATAATTAGAAAATGAGTCAAACCAAAATAATAAAGTAGTATATAAATTAAAAGAAAAAATTATTCAAACATTTTCTAGTTTGACATAATGAATTAGAATTATTAAAATATAATATATAAAAGTATAATCAGTGTAGTTGTTCTTTTATGCTATATGCATAATTATATTTTTAAATTTTTTTATTTTAATTTTAAATTAATAAATAATAATTGTTTATAAATGTAGTATGAAATATATTAAGTAGGTAAATGTCTTTATTACTGATTAAATTAAAATCATTTCAATGAGAAAGAGAGAGATTAATTATTGTGCCTTAAAAAAAATTTTTTTTTGGGTGAAAGTGCCTTGATAATTTCAGAGCTACTGTCGGCCTGATCTACAAACAATATTATTGTCAATCGTGTTGATGGCAGAATTAATTAGAAACTTAATTAATTTGCTTGCTTGCTTATATACCTTATGTGCGCTTAGCGTGACACCTGCTCCGGCCATGGCGAAGCTCAAACTTGCACATCCTTTGCATTGGCCTTGTAATGTTTCTTGGATATCTAAGCACCTCTTGTATGCAGCAACTTTGCCCTCATCATCGGCCAGGTGTAAGTATTTGGCTGAAACCAGTGAAGTAAACATGGTTAATTGGTTACAAAATGTTGGCAAATATTGCTTTAAAATTGTTTTAATTGAGTTATACACAAATGGAGTGTAAATTAAGGATTGTAATGGGTTTGGATACTTCTTGTACCCGTACCCGTGAAATAAAATATTTTACAGATCAAAATAAAAAAAATAAAAAAAAAGTTGGCAGGTTTATATAGAAAAGTTTTTGAAGAACAAGTTCATGCATTTTCCTTTGATATATCAGGCCTTGTTAATTAATTAGTTTTAAAAAATATTAATTAAAATATGATGATTTTGGAGATATATATCCTCTAAAAAGACGTCATACAAAACACTGTATAAGGATCTTACCAATAT